ATGTATTATAATATTTCTTGATTTTTTTGCATTATTTGTTACAATTCAAATCTCTGGTTTTTTTTTGTTTATTTATTTTTCTATTTATAAACCGTTTGGGATTAACAATATGATTACATTATTAAAATTTATTGAACAAACATGTTTATTAAAATTCAGAACCAAAGCTATATGGTAATATAACTACAATCCTTCTTGTATTATCCATCGTTAGAACAATGGTTAGAAGTTAGAACCCATTAGCCCCTTTTAAGAAATATATAAACAATTAACTAGTAGCATAATWATTATTGATCTATTCTAGACAGTAAAGTTGTAGCAATGCATTTACCAGCTTGGTGATCCGTGGTATGGTGGTCATTTACCAGTTACCACATTATCAGGAAGTTATCACTTGAAAAGTTGATAACTACTGATAAGTATCAAATTAACGGAGAACTGGATTACAGGAACCGCGGCAGTTATTTTATATTTCTGCTTAGGAACTATCTTCAATTCAATTTTCTTTCTTGATTCTTCACTATTCAGTATTCTGAACTTAACTTTTACAGCATGCAATGAGCATTGATTAACTATTACTAAGTTGTAAAAATGATGAAACACAAAGTAGACACGTATCTAGTATACATTTTAAACCTATTCAATTTAAAATTGGATTATTAACAAATTAATTTCAAGTACTCACATAATACAAAATTCTGTCAGGTGTGGTGAATTGTGAATCGTTCTATTTATAATTCCGTTGCCAGTATGGCGGTTTTTATTGTGTAAATAATTATGATAGTGTTATTTAACTTACACTCACTAAAATGTAAATACATTTTTTTTATCGAATTCATTTATCTAGAAAAGATAGTATTATGAAAATGTGKCATTTTGGTTTCTAATAAACTAAAATGAAGAAAAATTTCTTGAAAAGTAGCGTTGAAAACGCATCACTCAACATACTCTTACAAGTTAGTTAACATTCATGTTCATTAATTTATTACCTACAATATTCACTGTTATATTGGTTATTTTTAAATAATTTAGGTTGCATTTCGTTGCTTGACATTTGTTATAAATGCTTTCGTCTTGCGACACGTCTCTCAAAATGAATTAGGAGTTACAAATGTCCGCTTATTATTACTTGAGTCAACAATATTGTTTTTAAGCAGAGAAGCATTTCGTCGAGCTTGTTTAACGGATACATTGCATCACAATTGGCTCAAAGTCATTAATCTCATTTGGTTCTCGTATGGCGTTACTACCCGGCTTCCCTTAAAAATTTGAATAATATACATGATATATTGTATTCTTTTTAGTGTACCATTATGTGCCGCTATTTGTGGAATATGCGGTTATATTTGGCTTCAATTGTTAAGCCAACCTGATATTACTGTTACCACATATTATGAATTTGGCGTGTGGTCAATTCTTATAAGTTGTATTATTGAACTATGCTGCGAACAGTTATACATTGTAGCGCAAGCATTTTTATTTGTCAAGTTGCAGGTAATTAAAATAATGTTTTTTGTGTATATTATGTAGGTCTGTGTGTAAGTCTACATATTATACAGGATATAAGAAAGACCCCTTTGAGCTTTAATGCAAACAATGGGTTCTTTTCTTTTATTTGAAAATAAAACTGAACAGATTTTAGGTTGTATTAGAAATAATAAACATTGCTGTTCGCACTATTGTTTACACTACAATGATCTTGTATTGGAATGGTCAGAATGCTGTACTAGCATTTTCATATGCACAACTTGCATCGGTCATAGCATATACAATGTCATTTTATATATATTTTTGGTACTATACAAAAAAAAACAAAAAAGATTTTCCATTCAAAACCATGTGGGAATTTTTCCCAAATTTTACTGGAAAAGTAAGTCTGTATACAAATACTAAATGTCTAAATTAACATTTGATAGTAAATTAAAAATTGATTTTAGAATTTGTCTGAATGTGTGGATTTTTCTCTACTAATGTTGTTGTGGAGTTTTTTGAAACAAGGATTTATGAAACAGCTATTGACTGATGGTGAACGTTATGTGATGACATTTTTCAACACATTACAATTTGATCAACAAGGTGTTTACGATGTTGTCAACAATTTGGGATCATTAGCAGCTAGATTTTTATTCAAACCCGTAGAAACAGCGGCATACTTTTACTTTAGTCAACTTGTTCAAAGGGAAGTGCCAATCCAAATTCAAATTAAACAGGTACACAACATGATTAATGACTTTTAGTAGATATGTATATGTCATAAGTCATAACCACAATGTCTTAGGATTCTAATCGCATAAAAGAAGCATCTAGCGTTCTGGAATGTTTATTACGTGTCAATAGTTCTATTGGTTTAATTGCACTATCTTTTGGACAAGCATATGCTAAACTAGCATTATTTCTCTATGGAGGATCAACATTGACTAATGGAATTGGACCAGCATTGTTACAAATGCATTGTTTGGCCATTCTATTTTTAGCCGTTAATGGTATCACTGAATGTTATGCGGCAGCTACCATGAAYGTTTCCGAATTAAACAAGTTTGTTTGCAATTTGTTTAATTAATCTTAAATATACATAATTTGTATTTTTGTTTTTAACTTTAGATACAATGTGGAAATGGTCATCTTATCTGTGATATTTCTATTTATTTCTCTGTTATTTTCTACACTTTTTGGCGGAATTGGTTTTATTTTCGCAAATTGTTGTAATTTCACTTTTAGAATCATTCAGTGGTAAAAACATATTTCATAGTTATACCGTGTTTACTATTTAGTATTAATCATTTATAAATTTTCCAGTGGTCGTTACATTTTAACTCAATATAAAGGTACAAATTATAATCCGCTTAATGGATTAAGGCCAAAAAAATCGTTCATATGTTGTTTAATATTGTCAACTGTTGTTACTATGTATTCTGAGGTAAGCATAAATTGAATATAAATTTTAATTTATCATATCAACAAGTATATATTTTTCTTATTTATAAAAGGAAAGAAATATTTTGATTATCTKAAGTAAAAACTGAAGATAGATTTATGAATATCTTTGTATACTTAAATAAATAATAACTAAATTAATTTTTCTATAATGTGAAAATATTTTTTTAATTGTATGAATTAATAAGATTACTTTTTGTTACTTTTTTCAGGTAAAATATTATGAAGAACACAAACTTACACATGTTATAATAGGAGGTGCGTTGTTTCTAATAACAACATTAGTTTGGTTGTATGAAGAAATGTCCACATTTAGATTTTTAACTAAAGTTTATGGCTCAAAGCACAATTAAACCACCTTTCAAAAAATTTTAGTCCAAATTATAATTTTCATTTTTTAATTGACTTTTAAACTAAAGGATAAATTAATATTAAAAAGTACTGTTGTATCTGTTTTAAATTTTGTATACATTTCTATTGCAATTTTTATAGTAAAGTAGAAGATACTTTCAAATTGTTTTTAATTACAATTTTAAAATTTATATTTATTTATATAAAAAATAAATTCAACTATATGATGTTTAATGTTCATATTTTAGATGTCAGTTACAGTTAGTTGAAAATCTATGTTTTTGAGTATATAAAGGACAATTTAGTTATATTTATTTACACGAGATTATTAAAAAGCATTTTATTTTGTTACCAATGACAACTCAATAGGTTTAGTCAAAACTAAATGTAGGTGAGCCAACCTATAGAAACAGACACGAGTTGATAAATAATAACTATGAACACTCATAATAGTCATAATCTTTGAGAATAATGTGCTGATCAATTCAGTAATTTCAAAGTCTAAAGCCCTATACAAATTTATATTAATTTTTATAATTTATATACACTCAGTTACTTCCTATAATCCTTGTAAATTCGTTAATTTTTTGTTGTTATAATAAATTATGAGTTATTTTCAGTCCAGTAAACTATATTTTTTGACAAATATTCTTAATCAGTTGAAGAAATAACTCCAAATTTATAAATGACTTGCTGGCTATACATATTGGATGGTTTCAGAATAATACTGTTAAAGTTTTTCTAGAACATTTCCAAATATTCAAATTATTATTTTTATGCATAAATTAACAATAATCAATAAAATTACATGTATAACAGCATCTGGAAATAGTTGTGGACGTATGCAAATTCCAGAATGTTTGTTATATATAGTATTCAATTTGCCTTTGATGGGCTTGATTTCAYGGACATTGTTAACCTGTGTTGAGGACACTTTTATTTCATAATCTAAATTGTGTTCTTCTTCAATTAGTTCTGTGTCACTCAAAAATGTATATTCTTCAGAGATAAGACTCTGTTGTTCATTTTCATATGTATTAAATTTGGCTAGCGGTGTTTCTATATCAGTTACCTTCAGAACCTCTTCTTTGAATAATGATTTACCATAATTTGGAAAATCTTGAGCAGTATTTATATAGATACAAGGCATATCCGTGTAAATATCCAACATGCGACCACTTTGTTTATGCATTAAACTGAATAAAATAATGTTTAGCATTATAATCAAATATATATTGAGTGATACAATTGTATTTATGTTTACCTGGCTGCTAAATTAAATGCTTTGCGATCTTTTCCTTTGAACAATTTAAACGTATGATTGTATCCAAAACCAGGAACTAGAGGGAAAGCTTTTTTTAATAATCTTGGAACACGTAAGTCAAGACATGTGTGATGCACATTTTTAATCAAACCAACAGGTCTTCGCTCTGGTAATTTAATTGCTACATATTCTTCTGCGTTGACCATAATTGAATGATTCATAAGTTCAGACTCTCCAGTGTTCTATAACATGTTCCATATTATTATTTTAATAATATTAAACCACGAATAATGTTTAACTATTTATTGTTTTTACTTGTCCAGCTAAATTGAAGAACATATTTGAGGCTATATTTACTGGAGTTGATTTTGATGTCATACCAACATAGTTTACAACTAATTCATTTTTGCAAGTCAAACGAAATGTTGTCCGAACTTGAAATGTTCCTGGATAGCCTTGTTCACCATCTTTACTTGAATATGTTAATACCAGTTCACTATCTTTTACATAACCATCCCATATGACCTTATCAAATCCTTTTTCACCACCATTGAAGTGATGACCATCACGATTTTTAATAAGTTCATAAATTTCTCCTTTGTCGTCTTCGAGATGTCCGTTACTAATATAATCTGTAACTCTGCCTAATGTACCACCAATGGAGTGTGTATTCTGTAACCTATAATCTATTCAACACATTGACATAATGATGACTAAGTTTCATATGATACACTACTGACCTTCAATTGAGTCAAAGCCCAGTAAAACATCTTCTAGCTCACCCAATGAATTTGGTACCCAGCAGGAAATAACAGTAGCGCCATAATTAATGATTTCAATAGCAACTTTTTGTTCATTCATTAAAGTATATTTAGTCACTCTGACATTTTGTCCATTATCATCCTTCATAGAAAATAAAGTTTAATACTGAAATAGACATTTGAAATAAATGGTTACTTTAATGCATCCATAGTTGTCTACAATGATATGATTAGTATCATT